CGAGGCTCCATGCAGCCTCTTATCTTGCTGGGGAGGTGCTGGCAGGAAGGAGATAGCAAGAAATCTGCAGCTACCAGCCTCCAACGCACCATGGGCTGCCACCATCCCATCCTGGGCCTTCTCTTACACGTTAAACTGACCCTCTGTTCCCTGTCACGGGGAGGCCCAGAAAGGAAGGTGTATGACAAGTCTCCTTATCAATGCCTTGCACACATGCCGCAAGCACACGGCAGGTACTTATGCCATCAGTGCAGAAGGGAAAAGAGATGGCCCCCAGCAGCTGCTTATACACCCAGGCAAGCAGCAAACCCAGCAGGACTAGCAGGGTTAGAGCTGCATGCTCCACAGCTGTATCACACCTGGAAGCATGCGGTACCTGCAGCGTCCGTGGTTCCAAGCTCGTGCCCTGCCACGCACCAGTCTGCTCTGCGGCATTCACCCCGCTGTGCTTCTGCCACCCCATCTACCTGCACAGAGCTGAGCCCTTCTCCTCCTGCAGTGGGGAGCAGGGAGTGCTAGAGGCAGCCATGCACCCCCTCTCCTGTTGGAGCTACCGACTCCGCCCTTGGCCAAGCAGGCACCAGAGCAGAGCAGAGCAGAGCTGCCAGGCTCGAGCCAGCAGAGCTCTGGAAAGGAATGAATGGGAGGAACGATACTAACAGAGGGGCCCTGGACCCCTGAAAGATGGAAAATAGGCCAGGGTCCTGGCTCTGCTCTCCCTAGAGAGGTTAGAGTCTGAGGAGCAGGGGATTAGCAACAGGGTTAGACATACTCCCCACCTCTTGATTTCTATCCAAAAATGATATTGCAGTGTACTACAACTATAGTCAGAGCAATCATTTTTTGCTGTTAAACAGTGAAAGATTTGAATAGAATTAGTTCCACTAATCTTAACTGCCTCCCAGACCCATCTGTGCACCCACAGATACACCCTGCCACATACACACACTGGAACCAGCACAAGCCATGAGCCTGCAATGACACACAAGCCACATGCAGCTGCAGCACCCAGGCAGGAGGGCTGGCACCCAGGGCAAGCACACAAGACCGTACAGCTTTATTTCCAAGCTCCCAGGAGTCACGCACCTTAAGCACCCCTTCTCATTGCTGAGCTGAATAGCAAGTCCTAGCACCCTTTCACCAGGGGCCTGAACACTAACGGCACAGCAGGGGAACTGGCAGGACTGACACCCACCAATCAAACTGTAGCCTGACAGAAAAGCATTCTTACACCTTATGCATCAGGAAGTGACGGGGCAAGGCTCCTACCTCATGTTTCCAGCACCTGAACAATCTTTTTAGAGCCCATCCAGACCACTGATATTACCAGAAGCAGGCAGTGAATGCTGCCACCGTAAACAAGTACCCTGAGAACAAAAAGCAGTGCTCAGCCACTGCCCCAGACCAGACACTCACCTCTTCTCCTTTACTGAGTCGATCGACTAACATGTGCCTGGAAAGAGAGCAAGGGAAGCTCAGTCACAAGCTGGAAGCCAGAATCAGCAGAAGAGCACGAGCTGTCAAGAATGGCCAGATGCCTGAGCCTCCAGGTAAAAAAAGGCATCAGCCCCTCTTCTCACAGCTCATTGGGAGCTGCCCCAAAATCCACCTTTGGTTGTGAGCAAACATCAAAGATGTTTGCCCTGAAGGCTTCTCCCCTGCTGCACAGGGCTGCATATGCGAGTAAAACTTAGTGTGCCTACCCAAAGAGAAACCAGTCATAGGCCACTGTCAGGTAGAGAATCTCAGACGGCTCCAAGGACGCGTGGATCAGCCCATCCTGCAAAGCAAATGAGAACAGCCTTCAGGCAGCCCTGGGGATCAGGACTTTGGAATTCATGGTCTACTGAAAACTGTCATGGTGATCCATGGTGAGCATCTTGCTCTACCTGCCTGTGATACCGTGTCTGATGGCAGGACAGCATGTTGGGCTCCACATCAAAGCCAATCCACACCCTCTCTGAAGCCAAGATAGTCAAAAGGAACGTTAACTGCTCCACCACCACTTCCTGGTGACACAGTCACTCACCCTCCAAGCAATCACCCCCAGAAGCAGAGCAGGTCAGCCAGGTACTCACAGCCCATAAGGAGAGGCGCAATAAGGAGATGAAGAGAGGAGTTCGATCCCAGCCGGATATACAGTGCACCAGGAGCCCGCTGTCATCTGTTCCAGGCAGGGGTAGGAAGGAGAAGGAAAAAAAGGATGTTGCAACAAGAGCAATGACTTTTCTTTATGGTAAATCTGTAGAGACAAGCTACCCTCTGTCCCCACAGCCCAGGCTCAAGAGCAGAGCTCAGCCACCAAGCCAGAACATTTTGTCTTGAATACAGCAGCCAACAAATTGCTCGGAGTGTCCCGGGTTGTCAGCAGCCCCAGCTGATGTGCTGTCCTGGTCCTGACACCTGCTCAGGACATGAAGTCACTAGGTATGAACATCACTTTGCTACCCAGAAGATATACCTACCCAGCTGCAACCCACTATCACAATCTATCCCCACATCAGAGAGAAACCTGCTCCAACTGAACACTTTTTCAGTCTCACTGACCTTCCTACTGATACACATTGAGCAGAGGCATGCACAAGCACGACCCCTGTGCTCTCCAGAAAATTCGCAGTGTGTCCCAACACAACTACTGCAGCAGAGTCTGTAGTTGGCTGTGCTGGCGGAGCCAGCCACGGCTCCGTCTGTCCAACAGTGCTAGGTACAAAGTCACAGTGCTCAGAGGGAACAGGATGCCAACATAAAGCAATACACCCCCTTCAAGGAGTTGGCGTGGCTGTGATGACAGAGGGTGAAAGGGGCTCTTAAATAGGCACCTAACGAGACCCTGGGTTGGGGGCACAAAACACAGATGTCCAGTAAAATAAGAGCAAGAGTCAACAAGCAGAGGAACAAATGTTTCTTCTCTTCAGCTTTAAAGCAGTAAAACTTTAGGTAAAGTGTTCAGACATCCCTCCACTTTTGGGAAGAGAGGGTCTTCAAGGGATCAGCAAGTCCCTCTCTAAGAAGGGAGCTGGAGCCCTGAGATGCTAGGACCATCACCCTGTTTTGAAGGGAGAGGAGTGAAGCTCTCTACAAAGAGTGGCACTAATACCATCAGCTGTTCTTCTGGAGAGAGCGACTGCTCCAGTTAGACCGCTGGCAGCAAGGAGTTTGCCTTACCATCACTATTGATGATAGAGATCAGCAGCTTCAGGTAGTTCTGTGTCTGTTGCACAAGGTCCCAGCTCTGCAGAAAGAGAAGTGTTGATGGTAAGGGTCTGCCCACAGCAAAAGGCTGCTCTGCAGTTCAGAGCCCACCATGCTCTTGGCTTCACTATCCAGAAAAAGAGCAAAGCCGAAATAACCCTGTGGCCATTCCTCAGAGTGACAGACTCCCTTGGTGCTCTAATCAATCCCCCTATCCCCTACAAAAGGCACTCTGGGACAACAGACCAGGCAGGGGGAAAAAAGTTTTTTATATATATATATACACACACACATATAAGGCCATCTCTCCTGCTGCCTGGCTGGCACAAAACCTGCTTGCCTGCAGCCCCAAAGCTCCAAGCAGACCATGCTCAGAGAGACTAACATGAGCCAGCAAACACCTGCGGAGCACTGACCCAGTTCTGCAGCCCCCCCCCGCCCCCGCATGCGTGCACTTTACCAAACGGCTCAGCAGCCATCTTACAGCTGTGTACGTGATGCAAGTAGCATGATGGGGTGAGCAGGCCAAGGTCAGCAGCCTGTTCCCACAACCCAAGCACTTTGCTCAAAACTCTCTGGCCCTTGTAGAGGCCTTGTCTGGCCCTGCAGAGGGCTGACCCGCTCCCAGCTGCTCCAGACAGGCACTGGGCTTCTGCAGTAAGGCCCAAGCAGCAGCAGCACCACAGAAGGGCTCTGAACTCAGAGACCTCCAGCACTACAAGAGATGCAGGTGAAAAACATCAGAATAAGCTCAAGCGTGTCACTCTTGACCACTGTGTCCTGAGAAGATGCAGGGAATTTCAGCGATCCGATCAGAGCCAGAACTAGCTCAAGGAAAACAGGATAGCACTGGCAAGGAAAAGGCAAGGAGAGGGACACACGTTTCATTGTGACAGTGTTAGTGGTATAAGTGACATCTGACCACCAGCAATAGAACCCTTGCTGTGTGCTTGCATGTGTGCACATGTGTGTGTAACCACACTTAAGACTACTGTCAGACAAAGAACATACTGCTCTGCTGTGAAGCCTGCACAGCAACAAAAGAGTAGGGAAATGGGGAACACACTCAGCCTGGGGCAGAAAAACACATAATTCCAAAGCCTTTTATCTGCCCAGTTCAACCCAATCTTGTGCTTATGCCAGAAGGAATTGACTAATCATCCAGTCTGATCTCTCTATACCACAGACCAGGAAGTTTTGTTCAGTTGCTCCAAATACAGCCTGAAGCTTGCACTTGGCAACATCTCTGCCCAGAAAAACACCTCAACTAGGGGTGACAGTTCATCGCTCCTTTAGCAGCATGTTCCAACAGATCATCCTCAAAAATAACAGGCAAGACTGCTTTTCCTTATTTGATGGTCTGATTTCAGACTGCAGATATTGCTTCCTGTGCAGCTTTTCTTCCCCAGACCCAAGAGTGCTTTAGAATTAGTATTTTCTCCCTGCAAATGTACTTACACATTAATCAAGTCAACCCTCCATCACCTTTGTGATTAGCTAAACAGACTGAGAACTTCAGCTTTAAGTGAAGCACCTTCTCCAGTCCTCAGATCATTTCTGCATCTATTTATTACATCCTCTTCAATTTTTAATATCCTATTTAAAATACTGGCTGCTCAGTATTCTAGTGAACAAGTCTCTAGTCATAAACAAGCTGTGGTCCCATTAGTTCTGCTTCAACACTGCAAGCTACTTTCCGTGATTCTGCTTATGCTGGCACTTAAACATTATTTACATCACTGACTGACAAACACTGGCCCAGCACGGGGAGCTCTGCTAGTTCTGTGGTGCTTCCAGCCACAGAGCATAGAGGCGTGACACGCTCCAGCACAGTCAATCATCACAAAACCTGGGGGGACTGGTAGGGCCACTGATGTGTGAAATGGAGCATGCTAATCAGCAGTATAAGGTGGTGCTCCCTGGTATGAACAGACAGAGGTAAACCTTGAAGCTTGGGCAAACATAAGAGTTCAATTATAATTTGTGATGCTGTTACAGTAATAAGGAATGGAGACATGCTACGGTCAGTTATGACTTTCTTCTCTCCTCTCACAGGACAGGTACCTTGCACACCCATGAAGAAGGTGCCTAGTCACTTGGCTACTGCTCACATAAGGGAAGGCTGATCTCTCTCAAGACTCTCCACAGCCAAGGAAGTCTACCCACTGCAGGGACATGCCTAGCTAAGATTGTGAACAAGTAATACTGCTTTCCGTTTGCTGGCGTGTTCCTTACCTTTGTTACCGACATATCTCCCTAATGGATTGCAAGCTTTATGCAAGCTACAGAAAAAGATTTGCTGTTACAGTCAGCTGCCTTGGGACACACCAAGCCAGGAAGCTTTTGGGTAGCGGATTTCCACTGCTATTCTGAACAATCAAGTCTGCAGCCCCACTCCCAGTGGGATGGTATGAAGTGAGCCAGATTACTGCAACAGGAGCAAGTCAGACTTCAAATCTTTACTGATCCTTCCTGACTAAATCTCTGACCTCCCACAGAGAGGGAGGTTTGCTCACCTGGTACTCGCTCCAATCAATATTCAGAGATTGGGTCAGAGAGACTGGGATACTTAATGGAGCATCTACATAATCCTGAAAAAAAAACCCAAACACAATTGGTCAGAGAAAAGCCATGACTTGAAGGCAGCAAGTTCCAGAAAAAACAAAACAACAAATGCCAAACGGTGCATCTAGAAGAAAGCGCCTCAGAAAAGCACCTTTGAATGCAAAAACCCGCAGTGGTAAGAATTAACTCATAGCCTCTTAGAAGGACTAGTGGACAAGAGGAGCTCTTCTGTGCTCCCAACAGTGAAAGCCAGGGACAAGGCATGTTAGTTTCTGAACTCCTGTAGGGCTGCTCCACTCAACCATCTCCCTCAGCAGGAGACAGAATACAAAGACAGAACTGAGAACAGAGGCTATCAATAAGATATGAAATTCAAAAACAGGAGCAACCCATACCTCCCATGAGAGGCCAAGCATCCTGGACTTCAGGATAACGATTCATTTATTTTACATACGAATTTTACAACGAATGAGTAATTTAGTACATTCACTATCTGCTTTGTTTGTCCTGTTGGTTTCCTCCCTGTGATCAGAAATAAGCACACGACATACACACCATCGCTCAGGAACTCTGAGGCAAGAATTAAGCCTAGTAAAGCCCACAGCTCTCCATTTTGTAACATCCATGTACCTGTTTCCAGTTAAATATGAGACCCTCAGCTGTATAATCCCGGTCTTTGTACTCCTTAAAAAACTCACAGCCTGCAAGAAAAAGAAATAATGAACAACCGTTCAGCTAACTGATATCTAACAACTGAAGTGCCCTGTGGGACTGGAAGTGCTGGCAGCTCTGGGCTCCAGAGCACCAAACCAATCAAAACTGCTGCCTGTGGGAAGAGAAGAGCAGTAATCATCAGTACAGTGTGCAGCACAGCCTCTCAGCAGCAACAACCCAGAGCACTCAGCAGTGAACACACTCACACGGCAAAGGGCAAACTCCAAACACACAACAAATGTGGAATTTGAGGGACTGATTTCATCCTATCCCAAACAAGAGGTTTCACCAAGGAGCTACGCTTTCCAGGGCCACTGGCTTTTGCACAGATCTAAGGCATCAGCCTGGCACGCTAAGTGAGAAGGAACCAGCAAAAGGAGCTGTTGGCAGAGCCCTGGGGAAAGCCAACTTTCACAGGGCATCTGCTGCAGGTAACAAGAAAGGGCTCTGTCAGAGGCGGCTGTGATTTCTCTCACATTTAAGTCTCCTCTTTCAAACACGTGAATTGCCCTATCTGAAGGAAGCAGATACATAACCACTTCCAAGGTTTCCCCCCAAGCCTTCCCATCCTAACGTTTGTCCTTTGGCTCTGTTCTTCTCAAACAACTATTTGAACTCTCTGCAGCAAACTGCAGTCACTTAGTCACAGCTGAGCACCACCATTAGCACTGCGGCTGCCTGCAGGCTACAGGGAACAGCCCTCCCAATGTACCGTGCATGCCCCAGCAGCGCCACGGTGCCCACATTACCAAGACACCCCTGTGCCAGGCACTGAACACAGGCACCGATTCCTACCCTGCAAGTCACAAGTAACTTCAATGGCAAAAAAAAAAAATCTTTGTGCAAAGACAGGACTAGCCCTCAAAAACAGTCAGGAAGCAATCTGTCAGCTGAGCTTTAACTCCAATTAAACAACGGCTTAAAGCAAAGAATGGGGGATTATGGCAGTAAGTATTGGCACCTACAAACACCAACTACCAGTCAAATGGAAAAAAGGTTTTTTCCGCACTGAAGGGCACAAAAGCTTCTGCAGATACCCCATTTTAACCCAAGTCTTTCACCCTAGACAGTCATGTCTGGACACTGCCTCGCTCACCTAAGACAACAGGATCCCAGAATAACTTTAGAGACAAATTACAAACCAGAAATTCTTTCAACGCAAACCTGGAAACATCAATAAGAATGTATCACAGCATTTGGCCAGTCACTAGAGGGGCTGCTGATCCTTAGATGTGTATGCCTTAGATTTACTAGAATGACAACATTCCCCTGTGGACCAGCACTGCTGAAATCAGACAACAGCTGCAGGGAGAATTTCCCGTTTTGTAAGGTTTACCTCTAGCGTGGTAAAACTCTCACTAGAGTGAAGAGCTGCTGAAAGAAAGCAGCTGTCCCAGATGGCAGAAGAGGAAGGACCATCACTGAATATTGCACACAATATGCAGATCCCCATACAGTAACAACTCTACAGCTTAACTCTATAGAGTCACTTCTTCCTCATTCTTTACAAACCCTACAAAAGACCTGTGTACACTGTCTCTCTTGTGTTCTAAGTTTGGTGAGGCATACGGCAGCAGCATATACCTGTGCCACATGCTACAGAAACCAGTAATACTCTTATTTCTGTACACCTCGGCAATCTCCATGGCAAACTTGATAGAAATCTTCATGCAGCTTCTCTGAATTGTCACTAGTTTATCTATGAAAGGAAATACACCCTTTAAAAAAAAAAAAAGAAAGAAAATATGTTTAAGGGCAACAACTAGTAATCAAGGAAAAGTTTGGGTTTGGATCATCCACAGTTTTGTTAGTTTTTGTTTTGTTTTTTTTTTCCTCCTCTCCCTTTCTTTGTACACAAGGGAGAAAGAAAAGTCCTTTCTTGCAGACAGAGCTCAAGCACAGCAGTCTCACATCCAATCCTGTCACCGAGCCTGACATCAGCAGGCAGGCAGCAATATTCAGCTCATCTTTAAGAGTGCAGCAAGTGACCCAGCAGTGGTTGCTAGGCACAGGGACTAATATAGCCAGGGAGACGGGCTGGAGTGGTCTGCATCTCAGCCGTACATTGCAGGCTCAGGTTAAGTTCTGCCTAGCACCGAGGATATCTTACAGTGGTGCTCTGGAACACAAGGACGAGAAAATACTCTTAAGAATTGGGGTTTTACATAACACCGAGCAAGATATATATTTAGCATCAAGTAGTAGTTTGGAGTTGCAGGGGTGTCAAAGGCCATCTTAACCCCAGCTCCACCTCTGGGACTTTTTCTCTGCGCTTGAATTAATTAGAACTGCTGAGAAATTATTTTGCCACCTCAAAGAGTGCCTAATGCTGACTCATACCGCCAGAGCATCCAGATTCGTTGAATTGTTCTCAGTTTAAAAGAGCTTCTCTTCAGAGGGAGCATAGGAAACATTCAGTAAGCCACAGTCATTTCACCACACACACACAGAGGTAGTTCCCAGTCCCCAGAAACGGATTGTCACCTGTCCCTTGGGAGTCCCTCTGGACATCAGTCCTGTACCTGGATATGGGATGGAGAGAAGCGTGAAATCAGCGTAACGTTGAGCTTTGTCCACCTTCTCAGAAGACGTCACACTGCACAGGACAAGAGGAAAACAGCACACATTTGTAGAGTATTTTTCACAGCGATACTAGCACCCAGAAAGCTACCTGTCACATCTCCCTGCACAATGACTTGACTCAGTAGTGAGCAGGGGCACAACTCACTCAACACATCCAAATAAACAGTATAGCCCCAAACCACTAAAGCTTTCCTCTGAGAGAAATCCCAGGAGAAACATCTCCCTCTGTTCCTATACACAAGCAGAGGGCTCCTTTACTCTCCCTTTCTGAAGGGGTGACTGTCACATCACCGCAAGCTCTACAGAGAAAACCTGCTCAGGCTGCAGAAGACAGATGAAAGCAGCTGTCTTGCCCATTGATACAGCTTTCTCTGGCCTAAAACCTTGGGGTTCTCTGTACAGCATTGACTAACGGATCCTGCTGTAGGACTCTTCCAGGGACTGCTCCCAGGTTGCTGAATCATAGAATCATTAAGGTTGGAAAAGACCTCTAAGATCATCAAGTCCAACCGTCAACCCAACACCACCATGCCCACTAAACCGTGTCCCTAAGCGCCTCATCGACACGTAATTAAATACTTCCAGGGATGGTGACTCAACCACTTCCCTGGGCAGCCTGGTCCAATGTTTAACCACTCTTTCAGTAAAGAAATTTTGTAATTTCAGTAAAGAATTTTTTTTGCAGTAACGAATGCATGCCTGATAACAATTCACGTGTAACGGCTACACTAGCTGCAATCCAAAGCCCGCAGAAAAACAAATGAACCCAGACTCACTTCAAGCCAAACTTCACCTTCTTGTTTTCCACCATCAGGTCACAGATATATCGGACAGACAGGTATCGAAGCAGCTTGATGTCGTGCCCTCTGACCTTGTCAAACAGCTGGGAGTCTGCATTTCTGCAAGACAGAACAAGACAAAGCAAGATGAGCATGGAAGACTGACCACGTTTAGTCTGATTCTCTGTGCAATACTGCCACAGTTCTTCACCGAACCACTTCTGGAGACAGCACGAGCCTTGTCTCCACAGGTCAGAGTCAGACTCTGCAATGAACTGATACCGCAAACTTCATGCTTAGGGTGCCTCTCCATGTCTCACTCTGTGTTGCAACAACCACGTGAGACACAGAACAACTTCTCCAGCCTGGAGATGTACTTTTTGATGAAGTAAACACGTCTGTGTAATTCAAGCACCTTTTTAAATGGCTCTATATATTCCTGTCTCCAGCCCTTCCCTCTGGCAAGAGATTAGCAGGCTTCAGTTACACTGGGTTCAGCCAGCCATTAGCATTCAAGACTCTTTTTCAAAAGAAAGGAAAGTAAGACTCCGACCTTGGTGATGGTCTCAAGCCTGTACCCAAAGCCCAGCCTAGGAAAGAGCAGAATTGAGTGGCTGAGCCAGTCAGCTTTGGTCCAAACTCCCTTTTCCCCCCCACCCCAGTGATGCATAATACAAACCTAAGTGCAGAATCTTCCTCTGAAATGTCTTCTGCATCTGCCCAAGCATCATCAGAACCTCCTGCAAGGAAGGCATTAAGAACTGAAGCTTGTGTAAACCAACTGAATCCCCAATCCGACAAGACATGCACGTGCCCAAGAAGGTCATGGTTTGGCGCCCTCTCTCCACTCGTAAGTGCTCTCAGTTGTTCCCCACATTTCCTCTTCCTGAAAAGCCTGTTTTCTAATATAGCCCACTCTTCCCTTGTCATTGCAAAGGATCTAAGCAGGTCAAACCCATTACTGACAGACAGAAGGACACCCCGATAGTGCTACACAGTGCTTTGTTAAGCCAAGCTTCAGCTCCCACACTACAGACACCCAATGCTCTCCTGAAGAGCTCTCCCTAGAGTCCACTATATCTCACCATTAGCAGGATTTGATTCCCAACGATTAGCCAAGCTACAGCAAGTTCTTATCCTCTTTCTTCCATTATTCCCCACCCCCGACGTTTGGGAATCAGTACCCTGAATCCTTTGGGCTGCCTTACTTGCCTACATGCTTCCCCTAACTCACTCTTCAGCCTCAAGTTCTTTTGTCACTGCTTCTTACGAGCTATGGCACTCTGTCCTGGTGCTTGGAAACGGGCTCGAGATTTCAGTCTTTGCTCTATTATACAGGGCCTGATGCAAGCAGGTCCATGCTAGCGCGCTGCATCGGCTCTCAGGAAGAGCTTGCTCTCGTGTGTAGGTCACTGTCCCAGCACTGACCAGCCTTACCAGGCAGACAGTGACAAATGGCTCCTCACTCACCTGAGAAGATATAGTTGTAGCCAGTGCGCCCATAGAGCTCTCCCCAGCCAGCCAGCGTTGCTGATCTGCAAATATGCTGAAGGAAGATTTTATTATTAACCACGCATGCTCCAAGAGTCTTTCCCTTATCAGGTCTTTGGCCTATTTGCTGTCACGTTACACAGAAATGGTTGGTACCTACAGCTACCGCCTCTCAGCAGTCTCCCCTGCAACCCTGGTCCAGATCGAGTTCTCCAAACACATCAAACTCCCAAGTGCCTTTATCTGTAGCTAGTTTTTAAACCACATTTTCATCTCCAGTTCTCCAATTCACTAATACAGTCAATTCCTGCCAAATTAGCAACATCCATGCTCCGTTAATACCCTGCTTGAGCCTTATTTCCACATTCCTGTGGATGAGATTATGGATGGTCCCAGTACGACTCCGGGCAGTTCACTCCTGCAGAAAAAGGTCAGCAGGTTCAGCCCACGATGGTTTCAGTCAAGCTAGATTACAATTGTCACAGGTACGATTTTGCTATTCATACAGTCTTTCTAAATTGAACTAAGAAAACTGAATTAAGCCACTTAAATTCTAAATGAGACTACTCCTACAGGGCTTCAATACAGTTTAAGTAATCCACATAAAAATTAATCTAATTTCACCTTCTTACAGATCCCCTCGCAGATAAGCCCACACATTCATAAGACCATTTATGCAATCTTGCCTCCCCAGGGAACAGACAAGGGAAACTTCTCTTTAGAGAGAAAAGTTATTCAAAGGGAGCTCACTGCTGGGAAGAGTAAGGGGCAGAAAGTGACAATAGTTGTCATTCCCTGCTCAAAGACCAAGTATCTCTGGTCCTTCAGAAGGGACATACATATGGAGAAAATGTTAGCTCTTTGGTGCAACGCTCATGACATGGCGGGGTAAAATAGCCCGAAGTCCGCAGAGATGATTTATGCAGCCTAGACAGCAAATGCTACCTACTACTACAGGCTGCCTGCTTGTACCTAAGAACAGATTTTTGCAGCCTTCAGAAGGTGACAACCAACTGAAGATGTGGCTGCACAGTTCAAACGGCAGGGAGAAAGGTCATTTTCTAAGTTAAGACAGGTAACCCATGAAGCTTTACCTTTCCCTTGTACAGAATGACTGGGCAGACAAATCGTCCTCTACACCTCGCCATCTTACTTCGGTTGATAAGGTCCTGCAGTTTGCCAACCTGCACGGTGCTCTCAAACCTAGTGGACAGAGATTCGGTTCAGTACACAGAGCTTCTTCTCACACGTCTTTCAGCGAAGCTGCTACAGACACCCTGGGCCGTAATCCCCATCCCTTTTGCCTAGAAGCCAGCTCTGAAGTTAGCAAGCAAGAGGACGCTTCTTTAAGAACCGCTTCCACTGCTATACAACACGTATGGACGGTTTTCTGTCTCCTTTTCTTTATTTTGAAAGGTCAGCTGCACAGTACATGACAGCAAACATCTTCAGGGGCTGGCAATATGAGTACCGTCAGAATGGTCTGCTACAGACTAACGTTGGATTACTAATGAAGGACTACCAGAGTAAGCCAGTGTCTACAAAAATATATGTTCTGCTTTCCTCCCCACCACCTTTCCATCAAAAAGAAGCTCAGCGCTACCATCAGAGTGAATTCACTATCAGAGTGATAATTTTGCAAGGAAAAATAAATAAAATAGAGAATCAAAGCTTGAACGCTCAATGAACCTTAGTTCTGGTCACTTGAGCATTTGTGTTGCCGGGTAATTAGACAACTGCCTGTAAATCAGCTAGTGGGTTGAGCCGGGTAGTTAGATTAATGTCAGCTGCATCTGCATAACTAAATTTCGTTTTGTTTTCTGGTTAAAGTTACAACAGAAATGTGTTCCAAGTTGGAGACATTTTGGAAACAAGTTAAAATTGCTGCAATCTGTCCAAGTACCAGTCTACATTTGATAGGAATCCAAACTGACTTCTGAACTACACAGACCTTCAGGAGGAACCATCAACGCAGGGAGGACTAGAGTTTCCACAAGGAATTGGAGAAGCACCCAGGCTGACATAATAGAAACCAGATGAAGTCTGGACATACAAAACTGCATGGCCGTGCACTTAGAGATGATTAACAAGAATTTCCAGTTAGCCCTTTCCAGTAGTGGAGCTCAGCAGAAGAGCCTAGATGAACTGGTTGATCGCCGGATGCTCGTACGTTATCAACACGGTAAGTCTTGAAAAAGGGACAAGTAAGATCACGGGAAACTCTCCAGTGGGATGGAGAAGGACCAGCATTACTGTGCAGAGCACAAGATCTCAGCTGAGATAAGGCATCTGATGCTAGCGATCTACCCACGCCTGAAGAGGCACAGCAAGATGATTAGGATGGCCAGGGGACAGTCTACGCTGCAAGAGAAACCACCACGGACTGATGGGCAGAGCAGATGAAGATGAAGTGAGGACACAACAATATATGCATTAGGGTGAAGGAGAGAACTTACAGCGGAGGGGGAGAAGAACTCAAAGGCGAAGGACAATGCTGTCCTAAGAACAAATTAATACCTTTATGCTGGAAGTTAAAAGAAAGTCGCTAAGCTTCAGAATCAGCGAGGGTGTGGAGCAACCTACATGCAGCTGCCATTCTGGGAAGGATTAATAAAATTAATCTGTTAACAACATGGAAATTGATCTGTTTATGGAAAAGATTATAGGAGGTGGTGCCAGCGGAAGCAGAGAAACAGCAAACGAGACCTTCAAATCCTACTTTTTTTTTTTTAAAAAAAAATTCAATTCTCAGAATTCATAGTGGAGGCTTAAG